TCAGAGGACAGTTTAGCCATCTGGGCTGCGTAAGCCAATGTAGCTACAGCCTTGGTGTAGGTATCGGGGTGTTTGGCCTCTTGTAGATTGTTGAATAAGTTTGGGACGCTTAGTACAGTGGTTGGGATGGGACTGTCCTTCCACTCCTCTGCAAGGGCGTCATCTGCAAGTGAGTGTTGAAACAATAGTTTTAGGGGCCTCCTAGCAACTGGCTCTGCCTAGTTGCTGTTTTGATTGATTGATTTTAGTTTTTGATTTGATATCTTTCGCATTGATCATTGTGCATTTTGCTGACACACTCATTTACACACCTTTGTTGTGATAATGTGACATTTCCCTTGAGAGACTGGACTGGTTATCACACATAACAAGTGTATGATTAATATTCATAACATACATATGAGATGTATAACTCAACATATGTATAACATTTGTTATGTTTAATGAACCATTAATGTATAAAAAAAATGACTTTTTATAAATACAGTATGTTGATCATTTACCTTGCAGATCTAGACAGTTCTGTGGATTTTATATTATTTAGCAGAAAAAAACATTATTATTATGACTTTAATAGGCCAAATACAACCTGATTTTTTTCTTTCTTTCTTTTTTTAATTAGCATGCTAGCTGTTATAGCTGACACAGCAACTATTAGTGTCATCTAATAATTGGCCATGAACAATAATGTATGCAGTGTTGTTATCGGTAACTAAAAGTGAAAAATAATTTTCGGTAATTGAAATAGAGTGAAATAAAAATTAGATGAAAAACTTAAAAAATTCAAATTGAAAATGTTGCCTTAACAAAAAACTGAAATAAATATGAATGTTGAAGTACTAAAATAACTAAAACAAAAATTTTAAAATAAATTAAAGTTTAAAATAAATATTAAAAACACAAAAACTAATAAAATGACAAAAGTGCATAACATGACTAAAATTAAAAATTAAAACTGAAAACATAAAAATAAAAGCTACAGTAATTCAAAATATGAATGAATACTATAATTGTATATAAATAATACTAAAATAACACTGACTGTATGCATTGTATAGAGTATTTTCCCCCTATTTAAATCCATTTAAACCCTATGAAAAAAGAAAATTATAAAAAGATTGCAGTTATGTAAAGAAAATATTACAAATAATAAATATATGTATTTTACTGTATACATTAAGTTAACTGAAAGAAAAAGATTCAGAATGTTTTTTCAGCAATTAGGAGAGTTAATCATACACATCTTTGTGTATATGAACAACAACACTTACCACTTTTACATGGAAGATCAGGGCAAACGATCACTGGATCTAAAACAAATAAAGAAAATAAAAGTAATTAAAAGACAATAATTTCTGGATATCAAGACAGCAAGCTAAAACCATAGTAAAGTCAGGGCAGGACTCACCTGGGCAGAGTACAGTCTCAATCCTATCGATGAAATCCTCTGCAACTAGATCAGCGAAACGCCTCATTCCCATGACTCTTCCATCTTTTCTGCAAGCAATGGACTTGAGGCTTTCGTTCTCCTCTGGCTGGTCAAACATGTCACCAATACCGATGGCATTCACGTCTATGCTGGTGTCTGTGCAGAGGTAATTGAGCAGTTTGTCGTCATCACGAGGGTCGTACCGGCCGTCTGTGATCACAACCACCGTCACATTAGCCTTCGCACGACGGCTATCGCGAATCAGGTTATCGTAGGCGAACTTCAGGGCAGAAGGCGTCCATGTTCCTCCAGCGATCCACTCAAGCTTCTTCACGGCGTTTTTGAAGGCGGACATTGAGTCGATCTTGGAGTCGTTGAGGCGAATGGCCTGGAATGTTCCATTGTGACTGTACTGGACAACGCCGACTCGAGTCCCTGAGATATTTAGCAAACACAGATTTTGTTAGATTACATCAAACCACTTCTGCATTGCTACTTAAAGTAAGCTAATTCTGATTTTTTTCCCAAAGAGATTCCAGAACAAACATTAAAAAAAACAATTTGGACTACAATTTGACATTTTCTAAAGTAAATATGAATGGTGCTTGCCCATGCAAACGCTGGCCCTTCAATGTTTTTTTATTTTATTTTTTTTACCTGTTTCAGAACTGGGATCTTTTGCTATTGAGCCCAGTCTGTTGATGGTGTTGATCACGAAGTTCTTCTCAAGGGTGAAGTTGGTCAACCCCACACTTTCAGAGCTGTCAATCACAAACACAATGTCCAGGGCACCACATCTCTTTTCACAGTCTGAAACAGACAAGAACATTTACTGAATATAATGCAGCGATACATTTATTTTTATGATGAGAATCTCAGTATGAGAATCTTACCACAGCATCCACAGGTCTCTCTGATGTAGTTCATGACATCACATTCCTGAGGAAATATATAGTATATATTCAACATTTTTCCATTAAGTAATTTTGAGTAATTTAATTACTTAATGCTTACAGTAAGGCCAGGGTCTCCCTCTGGTCCGGGGTCACCCTGTTAAGGACACAATTTGAAATCATTTAATAAAAAAATCACTTAAATCGCACTGCCAAACATTCAGAACTTGGCATTTACTGTTGTTTAAGGACTTTTCTATGGCCAAATAAATGAAATATCCCAAATGTAGGGCTGGGCCAAAATTTTTTTTTCCATATCAACGATATCATGATATTCATTTACCATTAATGGTGAAGGAAATGCTTTCCACATGTTTGTTAGATCTTGAGAATCAATGTAAACATAACTTGTTTGTTCAGAATCATAATTAAACTCCACAGATTTAGCTACATTTTAATTTAGAGCCCTATTAAAACCAATTTATTTAATTTTTTCCCTAAATTATGTGTTTTCCATTATAAAATGCTATAAATGAAAAATAGAAGACTATATATCTCTTTCGCATAGTACATAATTTTTCAGTGTCTGCAGTCTCAATATATGAAGACATATGAAGACATGAACTTCATCTCCAGAGCTGCTCCAAAAGTCCGAGATTATGTGTGTGTGTGTGTGTGTGTGTGTGTGTGTGTGTGTGTGTGTGTGTGCATTTATGTATTCAACAGTATTTTTTCTCAAATGAAATTGTGAAATGAAGCGACTCTCGGAGCAGCTCTGGAGATATGTACATGTCTTCATATATTGTGACTGAAGACTGAAAATTGATATGCTAGATGAACGAGAACAAGCCGGCTTATTAGCAACATGCACTGACTGACTATTGTTGCTCTTATTTCTGCTGTGTGATAGACTGTTAGATTAATCCATATCAAGAGCTTATCATCGTTAGACATCAATTTTATTGCGATCTTGATATGATATAGTTTATCACCCAGCCCTACCCAAACACCATTTTAACATTAATATGCACTAAAAATTAAACTTGCATCTCTTCCTGGGTCTCCTCTAGGCCCCCTTCGTCCAGGTTCTCCTGAAGGCCCAGGCTCTCCCTGAAACACAATGAAAAAATATGATCACATTATGAAAGTAAAACTGGTTGCAAATGGCATTTCATTTTGATTTTATAAAAAACTTCTGAACAGTAAACATGCAACAAAAATGAGTCAATTTGCTGACCGACTCTCCAGGAGTTCCCTTTGGACCTGGGCCGCCCTTTGGTCCACAGTCTCCTCTACTTCCCCTGGGACCAGGTGCACCTTTATCACCCCTGTCACCCTGTTAAACACAGATTTATTATATTTATTTGTAAAATATAAAATATAATGTGATCTAAAGCTCTGTAAATTGAAATTTCTTTCAGTACAAGTACAAATTTAACTCATTACGGTACCGTAGGTCCCCTTGGTCCAGGATAGCTGAATCCAGGTCTGCCAGAATCACCCTTCGGCAAAAGAATCAGTATATTGTATTTACAACAGACATGCAAGCATTGATTTTAAAACCATCAGTTTTTTTGTGTGTGAAGTACCTTTGGTCCTAGAGAGCCAGGATCACCTCTAGGGCCAGAATCACCTGCATCACCTTGGGAACCCTATAATAGATATAACATGTTCTTTGCTGGCTGTTCATCCAGCTAAATAAGTTCAGCATCTGACGTAAGCAGTGAGACAAAAAGGCAGCTGTTTTTGGTTTTGGACATTTTCAGCCAGTTTGTACTGTGAAATGGCTGACAAATATGACATTTAGCAAGATTTTGTAATTTTTACATTTCTGCCTGGTTCTCCAGGACCTCCTGGTGGGCCTCTTGGTCCTGGAAGTCCGTTATCACCCTGAAAGTTAGTAACAAAAGCCAGAAAAATATTTATGTTTTCATTTATTATATCATCAAACCAATACAAATCAATTTTCAACAATAACCTGTGTTTAAGCAGCCAAATCAGTGACTCTTACCTTGGATCCTTTGTTGCCAACTTCGCCCGAAAGACCCCTGGGTCCCTCAGAACCTGGTTCACCCTGTCAAACATTATAAATATTTTAATCAATCAGGACATTGTTAAAATAATTGTTAAATAACATAGTCTCCCCTCATGCAATCTGAGTTTACAATAAAATAAGAGCCACTTACTAAGCACCTTTTTTAATTGGTAACTGAGAACCAATTCTTTGTAAAGTTATAATTTTCGGTGAACCCAACACTGACCTTTTCTCCTTTTGGCCCATTATTTCCGGTGCTGCCTTTAGGCCCAAAGTCTCCTCGTCTTCCCTAAAAATACAATGGTAAATATCACCAAAAGTTAACCTACTGTAGTGTTACAAGGGGAATATAACAGGAAAAGAATTCCTCACAGGGTCGCCTTTAGGTCCAGGTCCTCCAGCTGTACCCTATAAAACAAAACAAAGTTCTCTTTAACATCATCTCTAATTTACAATGTTAAAATAACAATAATGACCATAATTAAAACAAATACATACAGCAGATCCTTTCTGGCCAGGAATTCCAGGTGTTCCGGGACTTCCTCTCTCTCCCTGTAGGGGGTGTCAGAGAGCATATTACAATATTATTGATAACTAATGTTAGTGTAATCTCTGTAGTTATGAAATCTTACTTTGGGTCCAGGATCTCCAGCTGGCCCAAGTGGACCTGGTCTTCCTGGACGACCTGGATCGCCCTGAGAAGAAAGTGAGGAACCATGACACCTCAAACCACAATGCCTAATGGCTTTTACGTAAATGCCAATTTTTCTTTTCTCTGCAATTTCTCAGGTACCTTTTCTCCCAGAGCCCCTGCAAGACCAGGTTCTCCAACATCTCCAGGATAGCCATCAGGACCCTGTAAAAGGCACATTCATCTGTTAATGGACTTGCATAATACCAGTATCTGTTCCCCAAATGAAAAAGACTCACACCTTGTCGCCGGGGTCACCTTTGCAGCCAGGAGCGCCGATCCTGCCAATTTTTCCCTGTTAAAAAATAGTCCGTTTTATTAAATTTTTATATTTTTATTATTTACTTGAATTTTTTGCTATCCACACTTCACTACCCCACATTTACTATTACTTACCTTCTGTCCATCTGTTCCATTTCGGCCCAGTATTCCTGCAACACCCTGTTAGACAAATAAAAAATTTTTTTATATATAAATATTTCAAAATAGATGCAGCATGAAAGATTCTGTAAACAGAGAACATATAAAATGATAAGCAAACAGTCTTACCTTCTTCCCTTGTGCTCCAATTTCTCCCTAAAAACAGATAATTTGCATGTAAAATTTTTGGTGCATTACCAATAAGTCAACCATATTTATTAGATCTTACAGATAACATTGAGAAAATCATACCTTTTCACCTCTGAGACCAGGCTCTCCCTAAATGAGAATAAACAGGAGAGTGGTTACAAACAGTAATCTGGACAAATCAAGTGCAATAAGTTTAATGACAGCTAATTAGATGTACACAGAAACTGAAATGAAATGCTTGAAGTGAACTGAGCATTTAACACAATATTTACTTAAAAATCACAAAAAAGACAGAAAAAAATAAAATTATATATTGCTCCCTTCTAGTAATCAGCCAAGCAAAAACACTTATCAGTTAAAGCAGATAATCTAAAAATAGCCAAACATATGCAGAATAATTGGTCTGATCAATACATATTGGTTTATGATTAGGCATTTAATCGCACCTGAGGAATGTGAAGAACTTACTTTAGGTCCAGGATGTCCAATGGGTCCCTCAATACCTGGATCTCCCTGTAGGTTTTGACATGAGTTAATACAAATAGTACTGGTGTGAGAGCCTCACTGAATATGCATTAGATTTAGTACAGACTTTGGTTGAAATGCAGTGTTTTACCAAATGCATTCAATAGAACTGGTTTGTACTCACAGGACGTCCTCTTTGACCTTTAAGACCGGGGTCGCCATTATCACCTTTAGCTCCCTGTAATAATCAAGACGTTAGATCAAGTGTTAAGCAGAAAGAAAAAGAGAGTGAAATTACTTGATAGTTAAGATTTCTGTCAGTGCTGTCTTTTTAAACCCAATTTATTTTTTTTAAGATACTCACTTTCTGTCCCCTGAGTCCCGGTGGACCCGGAGGTCCTGGAGTCTCCAGACATTTCGTAGAGTAGCACTGGAAAATAATGATGAAATTGAATTAGAAAACATTGTAATGTAAAAAGAGTTGGAAAAAGGTTCTTCAGACTTTAAAAATGTTGGTTCAAAAAAATGGTTCTTTGAAGAACTATTCACTGAAAGGTGAAAAAATGGTTCTTCTGTTTCAATGCTGAAAAAAAAAAAACTCCTTTCGTTTTTAGGCAAGGCAAGGCAAGGCCAATTTCATTTATAGAGCACAAGTTTAACATAACCATAGTTGATCCAAAGTGCTTTAAAATAAAATAAATCAGAATTTAAAAGAGAAAAAGAGGGGAGAAGTATAAAAAAAACTAAGTTCAATAAAACAATTCAAATGTATATCACTGATTCTTGAGACATTGGACAAAACATGTCCAGCAATTGTAATTGGTATTAGGTTTAAAAATGAAAATATTTTCAATTGTAAATGTAATGGGGGATTAATGTATTTAACACAATTATCCCCTTCAGTTTATTTTTTCCATTATTATATCAAATCTATGACACTTATCGTCTTCTCACTACATCTAAAACAGTGTGTCCACAGAGAAGGGTTCAATCATTCATATGCTATAAAATGGATAACAATGTTTTTAATGATGAAAAAGAGCTTGTTTTGTCAAGGGCAACACTTAATAATATCTCATATCAAAGCAAGGTTGTTTTTCAATGACAAATGCGTGTTTCATAAGGTTTCAAAATTGTGTCCCCACTTTTTGTCAACACCGTCAGACATTCAAAAAAATGTAAAAAAAAAAAAAAAAAAAAAAACAGGGAATATCAGGGCCAGCTGTCACTCTAATGGACCCCCTTGCCACATTCCACCTCTGCAGAGTACATCAGTGTCAGGCTCTGGTAAGTTTTATAGTTTTAGAATATTTTAAATCCTAATGTTAATATTTCCAAGTGTTAGATAATTATATTCTCCTGAAGCAGGTTCTATTAGCATCTAGCATCAACAGCATCAATTTATGTTATGTTTCTGGAGTATTGAGCTTAAAGGGAGCATGTGGAGGGAAAACAAAAGAGGGCCAAGAATGGATCCCTGTGGAACACCACAATGGATAGGCGCAGTATATTTTAGGAGTATATAGTGAGAGCTCTGAGGAAAGTGATGCAACATGTTGGCACCCAATGAAGAAAAAAAAATGTAAATCAATAGATGGCAGTACACTGATATGGATCTCACCTCTTGATAAGCCAGATGAAGCTGTAAGAAAGAACAAGACCAAAGAAAGATTATTATAATAATAGCTCTTAGCTCACAACAAATATGAAGTACTAAATGAATTAAATCATTAAATACATTTTAGGGTATTGTGCCACTGCATATCCAAAAGAAAAGTATTAAAGACATTGCATTACCATTGTGTCATAAATGCGATCGATTGTTGATTGCACTATGAGTGGCCGCACTCCCGCGAGATCAACCGCCATATATTTGTTACGATAAACTCCAGCAGGTGAGTTAGCGATCTCCCTGAGTCCCGTCTCCTCTAGGTTCCTGGATGATGCGACAGAGAAGATCTTAATGAATTCGTCACGTGCTCGTTCTGCCGCCACTTTGATCCCACCACATGGGTTTCCTGTCACGTGACCATCGGTGATTACCACCGCAAAGCGTTTGGCATTGGGTTTGGACGGCGAGCGGACCAGTTGCTGGGTCATGTTGGTGATGGCGCAGTCAATGTACGTGCCCTTGCCCAGGTAATTTATTTTTAGGAGCTTAGTGATGAACTCATCTTTACTGGTGATGGCACTGATGATCTCCTGCCGCTGGGAGAAGTGAAGGCCTCCTACAGACCAGCTGATCTGAACTAAACCTTTGTAGTTAACGTCTTCTAGTTTCCTAGCAAAAGCGGCGGTGAACTTTTTGATGCTGTCTACCAAGCTGCCAGGTGGGTTCTCCTGCAGAGCTATGGTTTCAGATGTGTCGATGACAAAGTACAAGTCGATTGGGCATTCAGTTGTTTCTGGAGAAAGAGAGAACACATACAGCGAATTAAGTCACTAAAACAACATAAAATAATATTAAATAATCTTTATATTTCTTAAAATAATGCACTACCATTCAAAAGTACGGGGTAAGTAATTTATTTTTCTTTAAAGAAATAAATAAAATTAAACTAAACTGGTCACAAGAAGTGACAACAAATGCATTCATAATAGTACAAAAATATATTTTAAATAAATGCTTTTTTACTTTCTGTTTATCAAGGAATCTCAAAAAATGTCAGTAAGTTTTTTTTAATGAAATTACAAACTTGTATTCAGTAATTACGCATTAAATTGGTCATAAGCGACAATAAAGACATTTTAATGGGGTAAGAAAATGTGTGAATGTGTGATTTTTTTATTGATTTCTTTTATTCTTGTGATGGCAAAGCATTTGAGCGTCATTACTCTAGTCTTCAGTGTCACATGATCCTTCAGAAATCATTTTAATATGCTGATTTAATGCTCAAGAAACATTTCTTAATATTATCAATCTTGTGTTGCTTAATATTTTTGTGAAAACTTTTTTTTTTGGTAAATATAAAGTCCAAAATAACAGAATTTATTTGAAATATAAATCACCCATCCATATTTTTTTAATAAAACACGTGTAATGAATAATGCATTCATAGAATACAACAGAATAATCGGTTACTGAAATAAGCGTTTCCTCACTTGTGCAGGGATTCTGGCTGGCCGGAATCTGGCCCTGTGTGTGAACGCCCACAAACAACAGGAGGAGGATCGATAGTCTCATCATCCTCATTCTCCTTCCTAAACACACAAACAAACAGGATGTGTTGACCATGATCACAACACGCTCAGAATCTGTGCCCATCTGTGGACATCTGTTATATTCTAGCAGGCCAATTACATTTACAAAACATCAGAAATTTTGCAAGAAAGCAAAACATGTCTCTCCAGTGCCAGAATTTGGGGAATGTGACTATTTACCACTTTAAATTACTCTAATGCACAATCATAAAATTACTATCAGTAAAACAGCGTAAATTGAGTTTCACAGAACCCCAGTTGCATTATCCATCTAACAAGGGGCATAGAAACTGCTAAACTGGTAAAAAAAAATATTAAAATAAGACAATATTTCATTAATTAAGATCACAAATTATTATTGAATTTGTGTCAAATATATTACAGCAATGCCCTTGAAAATGTTCAAACAGAGTTAACTGTCAAATGGAAACATTTGGACTGAATTAGCCACACCCATAAGCAGTTGAACTGAACAATGAAGGATAGGAATTCAAGAGGCAATGGCATTCTGGGAAATGAACTGTTATGCCACTTTGGTCCATAAATCTGTCTGTAGGGCCTTTGGATTCATTATTATTATTTTACACTTCCTTAACTTCAAATTAAAATTTCAGTTCTAGCTCCTGTTTGCCTCCTCAATTCAAATTCACCACAAATTCAATTCTGAATGCCACAAAACCTTACTATATACGTCATACAAACTAATTCCATTGATTTTTAGGCATATCTAATACAGTTTTTTTTATGTCAGTCTGGAAATTAGCTACTTTTGTAGTCACGTTAAATTAACCATGGTTTTATTGTAGTAAAAATGTAGTAACCATGTTTTTTTGGCGTATTGATTACCATTTGTATAACCACAGTTTTACTATAAATACCATGGTTTAACTATAGTGACCATGGTTTTTTGGTTTTATTTGTAGTAAAACCATGGTTATTTTT